CAGACCCATCCGTGATGCCAGATGCACAGCAGTTACCACGTTCTTGCTCACTGTAAACGAAACCAGCAGAAGCACCAGATCAAGCAGCAACGAACTATCACTGTACTGCTTGCTGTAAAAGTTATAGCCGTTGAGCTTGCAGTCACCAAGGCAGAGGATGTTGACAGCAATGGCAGTGGAAGGCTCCTCGCTGGAGTTCTGGCCGCTGCAGCTGCTGCCAGAGAAACCACAGGTCGTGCTGGATGCCTCAGAACCGCCCATCTCAGCGACATTGCTGCAGTTGCTGCTCAGACCCGAATCATCCTCAGAGCCAACGCCCTCTGCAGCCATAAACAGTGAGAAGACCTCCTCTGCAGCCTCTACTTCAGCTTGTGGCATTTCGTGGTCCTGAGAAGACACGATCCACGCGCCCTCCTCCTCCTCAGCAGCCGGAGAGTGAGCTGAGGAGGACATCCAAGCATCGTGTTGCGCCTGCAGCACAGCATGACACTGCGCCTGCAGCATAGCATGACGCTGAGCCTGCAGCAACGCTGCCTTTTTTTCAAACAAGGCCATAGCCTCGGCGAACGTGGGACCCTCAGTAGACGACCGAGCATAACGCTTCATCCTGATCAGAAAACCGCGCTTCTCCCAGAGGGCCAAACGCTCAGCAATGGACGGAAAGTCAGAAGAACAAGCCATCGAGCTAACCGAGCGTGAGTGGGAGTAAAAGCAAAGCTAAACGCTAAGAGCGAAGAGGTTCCGCGAGAGCGATATCAAGAACGAATTAACGTTATGAGAGGTCTGAACTTGCTAGAAAAAGGCTCAATCAAGAGAACAAGAAGAAACGGGATTTTTAACTCTGAAACTAAGACTTCAGTGCGTTGGATTTGTAGATGAGACGAGCAGCAGGAGAGAGAGGGATGGAGGTTGTGTGGAGGGGACACTCACAGGAGGAACTTTTCTCGGATACTGCCCGAGCACCTCCGAAAAATCGGAACCTTGTGCTGGGCCTACGCGAAACCTACTGAAACCGCGAAAATGGGAACGAATCTGCTGGTGAACCGATTCTCACCGAGGGTCTCCGCAAGGGAGCGACGCGCCAGGATCTGCTTTTTTGCTAACCCCGATTCCATCGTGTCTTGCCCCCGCCAAAACGTTTTCCGCTGCGCGCCAGCGGAACTTCTTTCCTACAAAGTCGACGGCATGAAATTATAAGTTTCGCCTGCCTGACCGCACTCGAAGCGCTGACGAACCCGTGGGGTACTCCCATTCCCGAAAATGCCTGAGGGTGGTACCGCTGTGCCTCCCGCAAATGAAGGAAGATAGGCTTGGTAGCGAAGCTCTGAATCTGTGAACAACAGGGGGATGAGATCGAGGTCAGACTGGGTGAATTCGTGTAGTACTCCCTAGGGAGCTCCTCGTCATAAACTTTCTGCATTCTCAACCATCAATACCATTTCATGCATATTTGTGCACCAATGAATTCTCCTGAAAATCGGAAGTGCTGTGAATATGCTATGAAAACAAAATAAGCAAAACGAAACACCATGTTCCATGTCCACCATATTCTATGTTACCCTTATTTTATGGATGCTGCACGGTTGCTTCTGTGTGAAGTGTGAGTTTGAGTTGTGTTGGTGATATTATTTTAAACGCTGATATAACTAGCAAGAACTGTTTTGGCGCGTTGCACTCACTCAGCCGAACTGCACCACTGATTCTCCTCAGGCACCAGCTCGCTTTCCTCACCCGTTAGTTGCGCATTGCGTGTTGCGCTCACTCAGCCGAACTGCACCACTTCGTTTTCATCAGTCAACCTCTACCAGATCTGGCATCGCTCATGCCTGCCCACATACAAGGCACAACACCTAGCTTTCCTTGCCTGCTCGTTCCCGTCACATCCGAGTCGCGCTGACGCCAGTCAGCAGCCATTTTCCAATGCTCGCGTGACGGTGCAATCGCTGCTCTTTCGAAATGGGTCGCGCATGGGTTCGCTGCAGCAGTTACGATGACTGGAAATGTATTATCGAAGCAACGATCACGGCTTCATTGCAAGGCGGAAGATTCGGCGGAAGCGGCGGATTTTGCGCCTCCCGCGTGCGCTCGTACGCTCCGCCGCCGCCTTGAGGATGGATTTTAGAGACGGCTAGCCGCTTTCAGCAGGTTCTGGATCGAATCGCGGATCGCGCGAATGCGAGCCCCGGAGGGTCCTTTACACATCCTGCAAGGTACATCGTTTTGCAGTATTTTCTTTCCCGTGTGACTATTTCTTTCGGTTTCGCGTGCCAGAATCTAGTGATTGACATGAAGTGTTTCCCCTCACCTGCTGCACCCCAAGTGTTCAGCTGTTCCACTTTCTCCTTTCCTGTGTATTTCCCGCCGCCAACTCGCTTCCTCGCTCTCTTCCTCGCTTTCTTCCTGATTACCTTCGTCTTCCCCTCTCATGCATTCACAATCCCCGATATCCATTATTTCTCATCCTCATTCCCTTGCTCTTGTTTTCTCTTCATGCCAGACGCCATTATTCAACGAAAACGTGCTCGCGCTGCTGCAAAACCCCCATATTTCCCTCTCTTCATCTCGCTGTTTCTCTCTCTCTTCCTCGCCCTCACTCCCCTAACGCCCATCCATGAGCAACGCTGGTCCGCTCGGGTGATCTCCCCAGCTGAGGCAGGCAGGCAGGCAGGCAGGCAGGCATGAAGGTACGTCCTGGGATTCATGGGAGTGAGGACGAGGGAGAGGGGAGTGGGAGAGGGGAGTGGGAGAGGGGAGTGGGAGAGGGGAGTGGGAGAGGGGAGAGAGAGTGGGAGAGGGGAGTGGGAGTGGGTAGAGGGGAGAGGGAGAGGGGAGTGGGAGAGGGAGTGGGAGTGGGCAGAGGGAGAGGGGAGTGGGAGAGGGGAGAGGGAGAGGGGAGTGGGATTGGGCAGAGGGAGAGGGGAGGGGGAGAGGGGGAGAGGGAGAGGGGAGAGGGAGAGGGGAGAGGGAGAGGGAGAGGGGAGAGGGGAGTGGGAGTGGGCAGAGGGAGGAGAGGGAGTGGGAGAGGGGAGAGGTAGATGGGGGTGGGAGAGGGGAGAGGGGAGAGGGGAGGGAGAGGGAGAGGGAGAGGGAGAGGGAGAGGGGAAAAGGAGCTATGGATGGAGATGGGGAATGGGTTGAGAGAGGAGAGCAGGTAGGCTGGAAGGGACAGGGAGGCACGCAAGTGAGGAGGATGTTGGACTGAACGAGAGGAGATGTTTCATCATCTTACTTCTAACAAGTCACAGTGCCTTCTGTTTGCGGGTCAGGCCAGAAAAAGGGTAATCTCTTTTGGCGAGTGGAAGCAATGCCTAGCTAGCAGGAACCTGGACTACTTTGTTTTTGGCTTATCCTCTGCGGAAAGTGTGCTGAAGTTCTTGTCCATGTATTGCGTGCGAGCTCGGAGGAAGAAGAATTCCATGCAGTGCGGGTGACAGTGCTGGAAGCAGCAGACTGCACGTTTTTTCCTTGTGGTATGTCCACAAGTGTTGTGTACAGGTTATTCCGTCCCACTCCTTGCATGTGTCGCAACTCACCCCACCGGCAGCAGAAAAGGGTGGCTCCGTTTCTTGTCTTGTGACGTCATTCATTCATTCTTTTGGGCAATCCGCCTCAATTCTGTCTTGACTTCTCGAAGGTGACAGAGCTTACAGCAGCAGAGGGCAAATCAAATCTACGGGTGATCCTGACTTGCTTCGGCTCCATCCAGGCTGATGAGGTTCGCTTCAGGGAATTTTCATGAACCTGAGGTAAGTTCTGATGAACTTAAGATGTGCTCTTGTGAGCGCCAGGTGAGTTTTCATGAACTTAAGGTGGGTGTTGATGAGCTGCAGGTGTGCTCTGATGAGGTTCAGGTGTGCTCTGATGAGGTTCAGGTGTGCTCTGATGAGGTTCAGGTGTGCTCTGATGAGGTTCAGGTGTGCTCTGATGAGGTTCAGGTGTGTCAATCAACTCATGGCAGCATAGCATGCTCTACAGTCTCACATTGCGCAGAGATGCCACTTCCACTAACCGCGGCGTTAGTGTGCCTCCTCACACACACCTAGCCTTGTTCTTCTCCTCTCTCCTCTCCCTCAGACACCCAGGCCTTGTTCTACTTATTCCATCTCCCACACACAGCGTAATATCTTTCCCCCTCCCGATCCACTTGTCTTGCCCCCGACATATTTTTTTCTGCTGCGCCCTAGCAGAGCTTCTTTCGCCATGAAACTCAGCAGTAGTTACTTGAAAGTAGCTTTACAAGAGGGTTCGAAACCTAACATTTCCTAGGCGCGGCCCGCGTTAGTGGCTTGCTTGTTTCGACGGTCATTTGTTCCATCAATGCCACCTTCTTCTCTTCTCGCACTCGTCACGAACCCACCAGCTGAAGTCGGTTCACAGCGTAACCCTAACTGTTACCCTTCGCCGAACTAGTTCGCGACCATGAAAAAGAACGCGCCGGAAAACGTCGTTGAAGGATGAAACGAAAGGCAGTCGCCTGCTGTCGCTCCCAGGACGACCTCCTTCTGCTGCTTCCTCGCCCGCCTGAACCACCCCTGCGATTGCTGCAGCGTCGCTCCTCTCCTGCTCCCGCCTCCACCGCCTTTCCCCGCCGTACGCCCCACTCGCTCAACTTCTTCTTCGTCTCTCCTTTCCAGTATCGCAATGTGCGCAGCTTTCTCAAAGCTTTCGAACGATTTTCAAGGGTATTTACCCACATCATCTCACTGAGCGTGGAGGTTTGCTCGATCCGGGAAGTGAGCTGCTGGCGAAGGTCGGTGCGAGCTGCCCGAAACTGGAAAGGTTGAAGCTGGTGGCGAAATGGGGGGACTTCCACATGAAGGCTGCTGCGTGGACCAAGCTCGCCAAGCAATGCCCGTGAGCTGCGCCTCTCGTCCTCGCTATTGACACTTGACTCAGCTCGTTCTTATAACGAGTCACACGATCGACCATTTAAGCTCACAAAGGAATGACCTTTTGATTTCCCTCTTCCCCACTCCCTCCTTCCTCTCCTCAACGCCCCAATGCCATCACTCTTTTTAAAGCTCGTAGTTTGTTTTCTCCTTTTCCTCTCCTCGTCCCTCCTGCTTTCCCCCTTCTCCTTTCCCCGACCCATTTTATCTTCCCCTTTCCTCCGTTGCCTTCCCTCTTTCCCCTTCCCTCCTTCCCCGGGTCTCCCTCGCCTCCCACCTGGCAGCCTCGTGGCATCGCTGGAGCTCGACTCGCCGTTCGTCCGGCGCCCCATCATCTACCCACATTCCACTGGCACCCCCCTCCCTCCCATCCACTCCTTCGCTCTCCTCATCACTGCCTCGAAACTAAACCCCCTCACTTGTTGCTCCTCCCTCACCTCCCTCACACTCTGGAACCCCCTTCCCTCCACCCTCTCCTCCCTCGCCTCCTCCTCCTCCTCCTCCTCCTCTGTCCGCGCCTCCCTCAAGTCCCTCACCCTGCACTCCCCAAGCTCCAGTCCTGCCTCGCACCCCTCGCGTCCTTCCCTCACCTCGCCTCTCTCGCCTTCCTCGCCTGCCTCCATCGACCCTTTCGACCTGCACGCCCCCGTCGCTTGCTCCCTCCACACGCTCACCCACCTCACTATTCACGACTGCCCCTTGGTCTCCAGCCACGCCCCTCGCAGCGCTGGTTGAAGCCCCCGGCTCTCGCCTCTCTCGCCCTCCACGGCACCACCAACCACCTCTTCAGCGCCCCGCCCTTCCGCTCTCCTCCTCCTCCTCTCCTCGCCCCGCCTGCACACGCTCGAACCTCTCAGGGCTGCCGTCCTTCCGCCCTGGCATGCTGGCCCCCTGCAGTGGCCTGCACTCCCTTGCGCTGACAGGAATGCCCGAGGA